TTAAAATCTTGGTGCTTGGGGCGCCTGGGTGGCTCAGTGGGTTAAAGCCTCTGTCTTCGGCTCAGGTCATGATCCCAGGGTCCTGGGATCAAGCCCCACGTCAGGCTCTCTGCTCAGCAGGGAGCCTGCTTCCCCCCAGCCCTGCCTGCCTCTCTGCCTACTTGTGATCTCTGTCTGTCAAATATATAAATAAAATCTTAAAAAAAAAATCTTGGTGCTTCACTTTCTTCATCTGTAAAACAGGAATAACAGCAGTATCTATCTCGTAGGTTTGTTGTGAAGATGAAAGACATTGATTCGTGTCACATGCACAGAGCAGTGTCCGGCCCAGAGTAGGTGCCAAATAAGTGCTAGCTGTTATTATTCCAAAAGACTTCATCAGGTTGTGTCAACAGGACGGGCAAGATGCATGAAATCTAGCACCACAAGTATTCTATCTCCTGGTTCTGTTGAGCAAATCCAATCTATTTACTCTTTGACTACGGAATGTGTGTGATTTGGCTAACACAAGAAAGAAGGTGCATGAAAGAGCTCCTAAAATGAGGCTGGGAAGAGAGGGGCCTTCATAGAAGGAGATGTAAATGGATTGGGTCCTGGTCTGGAAAAATGAAGACTGAGAGGCACTATGATGAATTTTGTGAAGACAGGAATAGCATGAATAATAACTTGTTTATGAAATACTGGAAAATTAGAACTGGCGTGAAAGATGAATCCTTTGAGGTGAATACTTGAACAGATGGTTACTTGACTGTGCTTGCTGGGAGTCGTTCAGTGATGGAGCTCGTTAGCTCAGGAGTTTCAAAGCAATCTGGATGAAGGGTATGGATTATGGTCCTTTAACTCTCAAGGGTCGTTAGGGATGTTTGGGATAGAGCCCTAGGTTAGCCCAGTGCAGCATGGGTAAATAACTTCTATCAGGGTAGTGTAGAGCTGTTGCAAACCACTCAGCAACCTTCATTCACTTGATTCCCACAACGGCGAGTTCCTGAGTTTCTACCATGGGCAAGTCTCTGCAGGGAATCAAAAGATGAGAAAGACTGCTCATGTGGAAGGTTCCGGATCTGCGTTGCCACCCAGAAAACACTGTGACCAAATTAACTTAATTTGAATATTTATTATAGTTGTTTCACTTTTACTTATATTGTCCTGAGATGAGGGAATTTTGGGTTATTATTTTGATTTCAGGATTGGTATTGTGAGGAAGTTCAGGAAGTAGAAGTTCTCTTTTAGTTATTGTTTTGCTTTCCTAAATTCTATCAAGGTGATACTCTGATGTCAATAGAAAGTTTATTCTTTCTTGTATTTTTATTATTAGAGTGGTTATTCATAAAAATCAATTTTAGGGCCAGAGGTTAATTTAGAGACATCTTCAGTTCCTTCTTTCACCACTGAAGAAGACAGGTCCCTGGGTGACATGCATAAGGTGGCCAAGCCTGGGCCAAAACCCAAGTTCTAGTCTTCTGTGTTTTCTTTCCCATCAGTCTGCTTCCCATAGAGGATCAGGGTGATTATAGTTGAGCTTATTCTGTGTACACACAGACTCAAATGTGTTATGTTTTATCTTGGAGCACCCAGAAACAGATTTACTGGGAAGCCAGTGAAGTGGGGAGAGGAAGCTAGGTTGTAATCAGGAAACATTTCCCTATACACATTGCTGATAAATGACCTAAAGAGATATTGTAAGAGATGGGCCTGATTTTCTAAGGTTCCAGTAATTTATTGTAATCTTTCTCACATTCTAAGAAAAAGAAACTCACTTTTATACCTATTTCCTACTTGCAATTTTGTATTCTTTTTCTTAAAGAAGTATCCTCTTCCTGCTGCAAGATTATAAATTGCAGGTTCCAGGAAACCTCAGTTTGCTTCTGATGCCCAAAGATATAATTGGTTAGAAATTTCATTTTAATATTTCAGATTTTGATTTTTGAATTAATTTTATTTAAAAACTTGAATACACTTGTTATTTTTATTTTTTATATTTTTATTTTAACTTTTGTTATAGTAATAAAGGAAAAGTTTGTTAAAGGGTTTTATTTTTTTCACTCTTTTAAAAAATTTTTTTTAATTTTATTTTTTCAGTGTTCCAAGATTCATTGTTTATGCACCACACCCAGTGCTCCATGTAATACGTGCCCTCCTTAATACCCACCACCAGGCTCACCCATCCCCCCACCCCCCTACCCTCCAAAACCCTCAGTTTGTTTCTCAAAGTCTATAGTCTCTCATGCTTCGTCTCCCCCTCCAATTTACCCCAATTCACTTTTCCTTTCCTTCTCCTAATGTCCTCCATGTTATTCCTTATGCTCCACAAGTAAGTGAAACTGTATGATAATTGACTTATGTTAAAAGGTTTTAAAGAAAAATGATCACTCCTTTCCCCATCTTTCCCCACCCCTTATTTTTGCTCTCTACAGTCAAGCACTTTTAATTTCTTTAGATATTTCCCCTACTGCTTATCTTGTTTAATAACTTGCTATCTTAATTGATCAGTTTTATGTCAATTTATAATAGTATAAAATTTTATATAATTTATAATATAAAATTTTATATCAATAATAAAATAGTATTGTATTATTATTCAGTTGTGTGTTGGCTTCCTGTAATGGATTTAACTTTAATTCTAAACATCCCTTTTCTCTCCTCTTAATTCCCCAAAATAGTCAAATTACAATTTTTGATTACCTCCATCATCACTATTTGTATTATGATGACCATGTAAATATTATTTACAGCAAAAGCAAGTAGAATCCTATGGTGTCATTTTCTTTTTTTTTTTTTTTTTTTTTAGAGAGGGGTGGGGATGCAGGGCTCAATCCTACAATCCTAAGATCATGACCTGAGCCAAAATAAAGAGCCAGACGCTTAACTGACTGAGCCACCCAGACACCCTCTATGGTATCCTTTCTTGTACAACTTTTTATTTGTCCTAAAGTTAATAATTATCTTATTTTCTTTTGATTAATTTTCTATGTTGCCTATTTGAAACACTACTCTCCTTTCTTTTCATTTACCTTTTTGTTTTCCCCAGAGTTCATAATTGCTTAGTTTTTCCTTTTACTTAATTTTCTGTGCATCTAGCCAAATAGATCATCAGAACTACCAAGCATCTATTTTACCAATATTATTTGTGGAAGTGGTCAAATATACTAGATAACCTGCCAATCTTCTACCTCCTCTTTTTCTCCGCCCCTCCCCACAGACCTCCTTGAATAATCCTTCATCTTCCTTCTCCAGTATGAAGTGATTTTTTTTTTTTTCTAGTGTCTGGAAATTTCATATGATAAGCCTTTGGTGAGAATGTTTTATGAAGAGGACACTCAATGGACCCTTTCTAATTCTCAGGGAATTGTCTACTCACTATAAGCAATTTTATATTAACAGTTTTATATAAGCAGATTTTGAAAGCATGCTTTAAATATCTACTACAATACAAAGACTGCCTTCATCTTCTGGTTGAGTAGGTTTTCGAAGGGAATTCTCCTAATAATGGATAAAGTACCACATCTGGATGCCTGAAATGTCTGTGATTAAAAGTAGGATTTGGTAATATGAAATTCCACTCCTATTTTTTTGACATGTATATTAACCTTTGGGTGAATTACTAAATTTTGAATCCTAGATAATTATTAAGAATATATTCCCAATTTCTTGTTACTCTCAAACTCATAATGGCACTTGCCACTATGAAAACTAATTTTTAATATATGGAAGTTAAATACAGTTTGAAAACAAAAGATATTTTAAAAATTTGTTTTACATACTATTTTTTTTAGTTGCATTAGAAACATTACACAGTAATAGGGATTAACTATACTAGTTCCAATAACACCTTCCCTCCCTGATACTTTATATATGCAGAATATTTGCTGAATTCGAACTGGGTCCTACTAAGTAGGGCAATAGCCTTGTTTTCCTTTACTGAAGTAGAAATTAAAGCCACTGCAATTCATGACTAGGTTTTCTTATGGGGACTTTTTGTTCCTAGATGATGCATTCCCCTGTAAAGGAGAATTAGTGTTTTCCTAAATAATCCACTATATAAATCAGGAATGGTGCTGATTCTTTAGAGAAGGAGAAATTATTTTCAGTGTGTTTCAATATATTTTAATTCCATTCTTTTGAGATTGATGCAATTCAAGTGGCATGCTATTCAGTTGAATTCTTGTGGAACATAGCTCTATACTTTCATTTGATTTATTTTATTTCCTGAGAACATCACTGGAAGAAACAATGCTTTTGAATCCTTAAGATCTTGGTTGAGATGCTCAGCCCCAAGCCTTTTACAAGCAGAGATTAAGTGTCTGGATCAAATCCTCCTCCCAGAATGCACTGTTATTGGAATGCCCCTGGCCTCTGTCTAGACCTATAGTTTTGAAGCAACTACACGCCACCCTTTCGCCTTTCCTTTTCTGTCTTCAGTCGTATTGTCCACTGAAAGTTGTGGACACACATAGGAGTGGTAATTGCCAGGGACAGGTTTAGGCTGTCTCGTTTGCCTGAGGGTTTTTTCCCCCCATATTTTTAAGAATTTGGTGGTGGGGGGCGGTTCACACTGAGGAGTGGTGGAAAACAGAAAAACACCTACTGGAGATTATGGTAGGATTTCTAGCAGTTTATCAATGGGTTGTTCCTGACTTCCCTGTTTGGTGTCCCAAAACTTAGAAAATTGAAGGTGCTTTTCTAATATCTCCATTTCAAGTGACGTCCACGTGTAGAAAGAGTGTTAGTGGCTAATTTGGTGCAGTAATTTATTTCCAGGGTAGTGAGGGAATTTCCCCTGGATTTTAGTAGGCACGATAGATTCTAAAGCCATCTCTAAGGCTGCTGTACATTTCACCTGAAATTCTGGATCCTTGAAAATGAACAATTTTGTTATTTGGGTGTCTTGTGTAAGGTATTTCCTGGCATTTGCATTTATATTGCATTACTGGAAGCTTATCAAAAATAAAATAAATGTGTGTACTCAATTGACTATGAAAACATTTGGTTTGTTTCATCAGTTAGATTCAACATCACTTCTCTCTGAGGAACAGTTAAGGTGTCTTCTGGATGAATGTACCCTCAAACAAAAGTCCATGATTAGACTACCCGCAGAAAGAGAAAAGGAAGACATGGAGGATATAACGCCAGAGGTCCCCCATCTTTCCAGATCTATCCTCTCTGAGCTCCTAAAGGGATTAGAAACAACGGTCAAGAGCTCTGAGGTGAAAGACACAGATATGCCTGAGAATACGGAATGTGAAACACTTACAGGCTACTATCTCACCAAAGCCTTGACTGGGCGTTACACACCCCAGGCCCTTGTCATTGAAGCAGAGAATTTGAAATGCCTCCAGTTTTCCAAGGACAAGGTTATTAGTGACACAAAAGACTACTTTATGTCGAAGACTCTTGGCATTGGAAGACTGAAGAGGCCCTCTTTCTTGGATGATCCACTGTATGGCATGAATGCGAGCCTTTCATCCGAAGACCAACATCTGAAAGTCCATGCTGCAGAGAAACCAGAAACGGGTAAGGCTTGGAGAATGTGTATATTGGTGAATTATTACTTGGCATCTGAACATAAAGATGTTATAGTTTCAGGTAGAGCACAATAGGAATTAGGTTTGTAAATCACAGATGGTGGCAATAGCATGAAGTAGAACATTTATCAATGTTTGTGTGAGACCAAGGTTGAGATTCCTACTCTTATGACATACATTTTTTTGTAATGGTATTGAATACATATTCTTGGTGGTTATACAGGAAACTGATGATTTCAGAATAGAAGACAAATTGGTTGGAACAGATGCAAATAATTTGAATAGATTTGCTTAGTCATTTAACTTCCAAATTTCAGTGATGGCAATTTATTCCAGGGAATGAATTTGTAAAATGTGAAATACATTTTATTAGTGGTTTTATTAGTTTCTGTACAAACTTCCTGTCCCAGCTACTTGTATATACTCAGGTGTTTTGTCTTGTTACAATGCTGCATTTTACAGTGGTACAATGGTACAGGTTGTAAATACTATGGACAGACTTTGACAGACACAAATATTCAATTATTTATCTATGTTAGAAGTCTATTTAAATAGACTCAACTTTTCTTCTAATGTAGATGTCTCTATTGGTCAATCTATTGATTACGGTATATATTTTCTATTAAGTCTGTATCAATCTCTATTATCTCCATACTACCTTTTTTTTAAATGATTTTATTTATTTATTTGAGAGAGAGAGAGAGAGAGAGAGCATGAGAGGAGAGAGGTCAGTGGGAGAAGCAGACTCCCTGCTGAGCAGGGAGTCTGATGTGGGACTCGATCCCAGGACTCCAGGATCATGACCTGAGCTGAAGGCAGTCGCTTAACCAACTGAGCCACCCAGGCGCCCCTCCATACTACCTATTAAGTTTAGACTCTACTAATTCTGAACTAACTCCTCAGTGCCGTATTTCTCACTGCCTACCAGAAAGCTCCATGTGGTTACGGTCTCAGTCTGATTTCCTCATCTTTCCTTTTAACTCAGATTTTCCTCTTTCCCTTCTGTTTCCTCCATCACCCGGGCTCAAAATTTGAGTCATCATCGAATCTCCTCGCCCTTTTGCTCCCCACCTTCGACCTTCAGTATTGTTTGTTCTGCTTCTGCAGCATCTCCCATGCCCATCCCTTCCTCACTCTTCCTGCTGCTTCAGCTGGACCACTGTGATGATCCCCGGAGCAGTCCTCCCCACCTCTTGCTCCCCTCCTTCACCCGTCGTTGACTACCACCAAACGAATCCCTCCAAAGTCCAGCTTTGATAACCACACTTCTGCAGCTTGGAAAAGTTCTGTAGCTCTCCACTGACTACTGAATATAATCCAAATTCTTTCCCTTGCTTGTCCAGGCCTCCACAATCTGACTTCCATCTATTCCTAGTCAGTCTCTTACTAGTCTTCTACATGTTATTCAGGTTATAGCTAATCTGGTCTCGGGATTTTCAGGGCTTTCCTCTGCCCCTGGATAAACCCTACACCCCCTTTTTTTTTTCCCCTGAAGAATGTTCAGGTACCTCTTCATTGGTAGTGGGATCCCAACCCCATCCTCTCTGAATGTAACCTTCCCTTCTTCCCTTTTTAAAAAGTTTGATTTCCCCTCCGAATGTCCAAGACCCTTGGTCCCCTATCAGGTCATTTCACACACATTGTCTTGAAGTTCTAAGGCACACACGCACCTTCTCTTCCTTAAAATGGTGTAATTTTTTTGAGGACAAAGATCCTATCTTTGATTTATTGTTACATCTCCTTTGATGTCCAAAGTGCTGCCTTAAACTAAGTGCCTGTTTAAGAAATGAAACTTTAAATTGCCCAGTTTTAGAATAATATGCTGAAAATGTGGTTCACATTTACTCTTCACATTATGAATGAAAGCAGGTGGTATTGCTTAAGAATTATGCAAGCCTCCCATGCTATATAAAGATTTGCAACTTTCTTCTTTTTTTAATGAGATTTTACAAGCTATGAAGTCTGTATCCAGCTGAGAGTTCTTTTTTACAACATGCAATTCTATTAGATGGGTGCGTTCTGCCTTTCCCCACTAAGGATCTTCATTTAATAAACTGTGAAAACTTTGTTCTGCCCTAAGATCATGGTGTATTTTCTTTCTATTTGGATAAAGGGTTTTTATTAGGGAAAGCATCTGCATCTCCTCTTTGTCTGTTGTAGGCAAACTTAATAAGTTAGAAGTGATGATTTGTTTCATATGCGATCTCATCCCCATGGAGTCTGTGTGGAAGGGGGTTTAGAACAGTACTTTACTAAAATATGACTTGACTTCTTTGTGAACTTGGGTCAAACTGATGTATATCTGTCTCTGAGTAGAACTGACAAGACAGAATGAACTAGAACTTAATGTGACTTGATGGAAAGAAGCTGCAGTGGCTTGCCTCTACACAGAATGTGCCTCGGAAGGCACCAGATAATCCCAATGTATGATTATAACAACCCCTGAGAGTATGGAGGATGAGGATGGCATCATGGTGAATCTGTGAACCCTATTTTATTTTCCACTTATTATATAACAGACTTTAAGGAATAGGTCCTACGTTATCATCTTGAATGCCTGTTAGCATATCTGAGGTTGGAGGTTTTAATTTTACTAACCTCAGTGTTTATGATTAAAATACTTTGCTAATCAATTTTTTTGCTAAGCAATTTTATTCTAAATACTAAATTGTAATTATGTGCTTTCTATGAAAGCGAACACCAAAACTGAATGCCATGCCTGCTTTCTTGGCACAAAGCCCTTTACAGATGTAATTTGAATGAGGAATCTCAGTGTTTTCAGCTGATACGTTATATTCAGGTCTTTCTTAGGAAACAGTGACATGTGAATGTGATTCCAGGTGGGTTTCTACAGACTGGACTGAACTAAGAAAAACCAGTTATCATTTTCTCTTTCAATAGCAGATATTATTGATATATTCTTTTCTTTTTCTGAGGTCTGTTCCAAGTATTAAAATTCTTCTAAAAGGCCGAGTCAGATAAAACTTCAAAAAGAGAACCCAGCTGAATGATATTGAGGGCCAATTTAAATTGTGGTATTGAAAGATAAGGATCTACCTCACAGCTGTATTCAAAGTTCCATTTTTCTTGTTTGGGCTTTAGGCTTAGCGGTAAATACTGATACTTGACTTTCTGGATACAAGGTCCATTAAATTCAGGGACGCCTGGGTGGTTCAGCTGGTTAAGCGTCTGCCTTCGGGATCGAGGGGGTTGTGGGATCGAGCCCCGAGGTGGGCTCCCTGCTCAGTGGGGAATCTGCTTCTCTCTCTGCCCACCCCTTACTCCGCTCGTGTGCTCTCTCTTAAATAAATAAATAAAATCTTTTTTAGGGGCACCTGGGTGGCTCAGTGGGTTAGAGCCTCTGTCTTCAGCTCGGGTCGTGGTCCCAGAGTCCTGGAATCGAGCCCCACATCGGGCTCTCTGCTCAGAGGGGAGCCTGCTTCCTCTCTCTCTGCCTGCCTCTCTGCCTACCTGTGATCTCTGTCTGTCAAATAAATAAATAAAATCTTAAAAAAAAAATCTTTTTTAAAAAAGTTCCAATAAATTCAGTGTTGTACTCACTCCCTGTTGGGGGTTTAGGGGATTGGTGAATAGTGTCTTCTCTTCTCTACCGAGATCGGAACCCATTTAAAGACAGAGGGATTCTGAGGAAGGCACAGAGCAGGAGTTTGGCTTCATTGCTGATGAAATGTAGGGGGTTGCTGTGACCTGGGTGGGCAGCCCAATGGTCTTCCAACGCTGCGTCCTCCGAGTGAACTGACGCACGCTGTCACTGGAGAAGGTGAAAGCCTCAAGCCTCACCTGTGGAGACCTGTCCAGGTGGAACCACTAGCTGGGTGGGGTGGCGTGCTGACTGTGGAGGAAGGGGTGGGCCGAACGTGCTATTTTTTCCCCCAAACTCACTGATCAGGAGCTGGCTTTTCTCCCTGGCGGCCTGTGGAACAAGATGGCGCGAGGTGGGTTGCGTCCCCAAAGTAAGTCAAGTGCGAGGAGAGCGGGGAATAAGCGTTCTTTGCCACCATGTCACCTCTGAGACACCCCCGAATATGCTGGTACTCCACAGAGGAAGCCCTTCAGGTCTGTGGTTAGTCTGGTGTTTAATCAAGTTATCTTATGTCGAGTTGCTTTCCAGAGAATTCCAACAAAAAGGTGTCTCAGCGTGTATTGTATACTCTTTCCCACCAAGTATTTGATCTACTTATCAAGTTCATATAGTGAAGAAGAAAATATGAATAACGAAAGCAACAGTAGTAGCATAGGGCAAAAAGGGACACCAAGTCAGTCATGTTAGTAAAGAAAGGGGTCAGAATTGTATTAACTCTTCAAGGGAAACAAAGTGGAGTTTTCCCATAGGACCCGTGTAATGAATGGTGTCTCAAAAATTTTTATAACGAATGAGTCAGGTATGTTTGTTTTAAAAAGAACAACCTTAAATAAAAACTTCAGGCTACTAACTGTCTTGGTTGGCTCAGGCGTGTCCTGGTTTCACCATCGAATGTTTCTTGTCCTTGGAAACCCTTCCTCTCTGGCAAACTGGGATGATTGGTCACTGTAAATTGAAACTGAGAACAAAAGCCCAGAGGGCAAATTAATTACTTAAAGCTTGCAGTAGTCTGGGTAAGTGGCCGGATCCCAGACTAGAAGCTAGAGGAGCAGAGGGAGGTTGGGCGTGCCCACCCACCAGCAGGATCTGGCCTAGTGGTTGGGAGTCTGGGCTCTGGGTGAGGCAGATCTGGCTTTGAATGCTTGCTCTCTTACTAGCAGTGATCTTAGGCAAGTTACTTAATCTATCTCCTCTACATCTTAGTATCCTTATCTGTTAAGATTAGATGGTTTTAATACTTCAATAAGGATCAAAGGAGAAAGCCCACATAAAATGATTATGTCAGTGACTGGACTTGGTCGGCTTATGTGGAATAGTAGTAGTCCCTCCTTTTTTTTAAAGATTTTATTTATTGATTTATTTGACAGAGACAGGGAGAGAGGGAA